TTTTTTTTTTGAAAAACATCTTGAGGCCAAGAGACTTGATTTTGTGCCTTCCATTTCACGGCATGAATTTGGGTACTTAGGAGAGATATCCCATTATGACTTTTTGTGCTTCGCACCTGCTGATTAAGCTCCAGTTTAAGCTCTTCAGATAAGAATTGAGTCACCAACCTTTTGATCCAACCTGATCTCTTCAAGGTTCCCCCCCCCCAAAAAAAAAAAAAGAACTCTTCAAGGGTCTACAACTCTACGGATTTGGCACACCCATTATGACTTTTTGTGCTTCGCACCTGCTGATTAAGCTCCAGTTTAAGCTCTTCAAATTTTGTGCGGAGGGTCCCCAACTAAGCTCTTCGGAAAAGGGGAGATGTCTCGAAAGCATAAAAGAAGTCACCAAAAAGTTGGCACACCCAAAATTTTGTGCATAGGATGGTATTTGTGGGTCAGTTGAAAATTTTCAGAATTACTGATTTGGAGACCCTTAAGAAAAAAAAAAAAAAAAAAAAAAAAAAAAAAAAAAAAAAAAAAAAAAAAAAAAAAAAAAAAAAAAAAAAACCAACAACAACAACAACTGGCTGATGCTGCCAGGATAACTCCCGGGTTGAATTGTGAGGTCCCCAGCCTCAACTATTTTTGTTTGCAAAAAAAAATAAAAATAAAATAAATAAAATTGCACACAGCCGCCGCGGCCAGACCGGGGGGGCTTCAGCCTGCAGGTGTAGTCCAAGATGTAATTCAAGCTAAATACGCTGTACGCAGCAAAACTGTGCACGTCAACTTGAAATCTTCAAAATACTTTAGTCAAATGACAATGTTGTTTGCGAGCATCTGGTGGTGGGTTGTTGTTTTTTTCCCCCAAGAAAAACACCACCCGCACACCCACACACTGCCCATCTATTCTGGGAAAGGGGCCAAAGGGCAGGCCCCTTTCTTTGGGCTGAATGCATCTACCAGGGATTGCGCAAAGTGGGAGGGAAGGAAACAGCAGCAAACAAAGTGGGAGGGAAAGAAGAAGGTGGTCTGCCATGCCCCCAAGAGGCGGGCACTTTCTTTGGGCTGAATGCATCTACCAGGGTTTGCGGTCCATGGCAGGCCACTTTCTTTGGGCTGAATGCATCTACAGGGGATTGCAGTCCTTGTTCGACTGATAGATGAACAAGGGAGGCAACAGAGTGAGCCGTCAACAAGCGTTTGGTGGGTTGGCTCCCAACTTTTTTTTTTTCTTTTTTTTTTTTTTAAGAAGGTCCCTGCAGTGCTAGAGGTGCTGGTAAGAGCAGACACCACTAGCACCCAACCTGTCTCACATGTGGATTTCATTGGGTGCATTAAAAAAAAAACACTCCTCTTCGTCTGCCACCGGGTGACCGGGTGGGAGTAGGATAGATGATCTCCCCTTTATAGATTTATAGATTGGTGTTGTCCGGCCCTCAACTTCCAATCATGAGGGATGGTGATAGCCCCCAACTTCCAATCATGAAGGGGTGTTTATTTTCCCCCAGGGGAGAGATTCAATCATGAAGGGGTGTTGATTGCCCCCCCAGGGAGAGATTGGTTGTTTAGGGTTTCGTGTCTTGGTTTGATCATTAGGCAATGGGCTGCATGGGCAGGAGGACGACTTTGAAACTTCCATGATTCCATGATTCTTGTGAAACTCTGAAACTCTGTAAA